CCAGGGAAGTGGTTGAGTCCCCATCCCTGGAGGTATTTAAAAGACGTGTAGATGAGGCGCTTAGGGACATGGTTTAGTGGGCATGGTGGGGTTGGGTCGATGGGTGGACTTGATGATCTTAGAGGTCTTTTCCAACCTCAATGATTCTATGATTCTGGGCTAGAAAGTCACGCAAAGTGATGCAAAGGTTCAATAGCTGGGCGAATGATGTTGTTATGAGATCTTGTACAAGGTGGGCAGAGAAGCAACCGCTCGTGTTAGTCACAGGCAGGCTTTGTTTTGCACCGTGCAAAAATTGCTTTTGTTTCTCTAAACCCACTTCTGATGCTGTAGCAGGTAGGATGGCTCTTCAGTAAGTGCGTGGTTCACAGCCTGCCGTGAAGAGGTTATTTTCTGTGCAGGGGGCTGACAAGTCCTTTGCAGCTCTCGCTGTGAGTCTCTGAACCTTGGTGGTGGTTGGAGGTTGTTGGTGGCTTCCAGGGTGTGAGCAGGTAGGGAAGAGCCTTCGCTTCTCCATCTGCTTCCTCGGGCTGAAGGGTAAGGTTTGGCAACGGGGTGTGAAATGGGAGAGAAGGCAGCAGCTTACATGTAGGCTGTGTCTTTTAAAATACCATCTGACTTGGAAGGATGACTTCCTCATCCTAACTGCTTGTTTTGATCATAACTTCAGCGTTGACAGAGATTTGCACAATTTGACCAAGTTTGAACCGCTTTAGCATCAGCCCACCTGCCTGTGATGGTGCTGCGTTGTGGGACCTGTTGGGGAAGCTAGAGCTGAGGATTGCTACACAGAGTTTGTCTTGGCCCACAAAACCTGACAGCAATGTTTTAGTGTTGGTGCTAGAAGAGGACAGCTTCATCCTGCACTGCAACGAGATGCTCTAAAAGCAAATTATCTGGGGCCAGATCCTGTGCCCGGATTGTCTGTGAAATTTTGAAACGGAGCTATGGTAGATACCGAAGCATTTCATGATTCCTCTGACCAAGCCAGCTTGAGCCAGATGTCTTTTAGGAGAGAACTATCTTTCAGGGTGAAGGAAGAAAAATGTGTTTGAATTCTCCAAAAACAAACACCAAATTTCACCCAGGATGATGACAGAAAACTGTAAAATTAGGAGCTGGGAAATACAAAGCTTTTTCATAAGCTGTTGCATAAAACAAGTATGTTCTAATATCAGTGATAACTGTGTTTCTGAAAGAGATTACTTCTCCTGTGATAATTGGAGGTGGGGGGGTGAAGAAAAAAGGATTTATCTGTGCAAGAAGGACCATTGCCATAGATACTGCGTTGTGTATTAACTGAATGAATTGGAAGTAATTAAAGTACTCAGCAAAAACTTAATGGAAGATAGCATAGTATATACAGGTCAATTTGCTGGTTCTTTAAATTATACTGTGCAAGATGAGTATCCGTTTATTCCGTTTATTAACTGAATAAATAAGAGGACGCTTTTTAATGTTCTTGCAGAAAGACAAGGCGTGGTATTTACATGTGTTGCTATAAAGTTCCTCTGCAGAATCAGGTTTTGATATGCCTGGTCCAGCGCTTGCAGTGAGGGGGGGAGTCTCCTTGGAAGGAGTCCTGCGGGTCCTCGCACCCCCTGCCTCGCAAGCCGACCTCTTTGCCCTTGCATAGAGAATCTTTTTAACTTGGGATATTTTCTTCTCTGCTTTTCAGGTGACCACTTGAAAGTCTGCTCACAAGGCTACACGTGCTGCTCTGAAGAAATGGAGGAGAAGTACAGTCAGCAGAGTAAACACGACTTCAGAAATGCCGTCATAGAGCTTAGCAATCACTTACAAACCATGTTTAGTTCCCGATACAAGAAGTTTGATGGTGAGTGCAGAGACCTTGAACTTGGTCTCCTTGGGATAAAATGTAAAAATCCCCATCCTGTTGTTCTCTGTGCAGTTGTTCTGCTTTGCCTCCCCCTTTGCTGGGGAAGTTCATGACTCATGGCTCGGAGGGCAGAGCATGCCTTGTTTTGCAATCCCGTGAGAGAGAAATATTTGCTGATTATGGCTGCTTGTTTCCCAAAGAGAGAGATCTTTCTTTCTGATTAATCTTTTGAAAAGCCATTTTGCTCTTAACGTAAGATTGCAGTTAGTTTTGTTGGTACATCCCCACAGCGCATGTAATTGTAATGAGCACATCTTGCAGCCTTGATCCACAAAAATGCTGATCTTTCCCAGCACGTTGTGAACCAACAGGATTTGTATCCATCTCACTTAACCTTTGGGGCTAAGCAGAGCAGCAGATAAGTACAGAGCTGGTTTTGTGTGGAGGCCAAGGGTTCAAGTGTGATGCAGGGTCGGAAGCAAAATGAACAAAGTCTCAGCTGAGTTCCCATTGCCCGAGTGACGCTAACTGCTGACCGATAAGCAAATGACTGGTCTCGGCATTGCCCTCGGATCCGCAGCGGTGTCCCATCAGACTGGGTCTCCATAGGGCATGCCCGGCTCATGGGAGCTGCAGGAAGAAACTCCCTCCGGAGGTAGCTGGCGCACACCCTTCTGGTGTCGCCCACCTTGCAGCCAGGCGCCTTTCTTTCAAGAATGCCTTGGTGCATCCCTCTTGCAAACAGCTGAAGCCGATGCCCAGGCATCGGGCACAGTGCCGATCTGAGTTCCGAGCAGCATCTCTTGATTTTGCTGCTGAGCTTTTGGTCGTGGCAGTTCCCACGGGGCTCTGCAGGCGCCTCGGTGCTCCTGGTCACTGCAGCCCCTGCACCTGGGCATCCCCAGGAGGGAGGAGCAGAGCACCAGGCTCCTGCCTGGGTTGCCCTTGTTGGCTGGGGGAATGAGGTGACACCCAGTTGCACATGGAAATATCTGAAGAGTCAGGTGGGCTGGGTTGTTGAGACTTTTGTTCTGCTTGTACATTGTCATCACCATCTGGTAGTAGAGGGCAATTCCACCGCACAGCTCCTCTGGACCTTTCTCCCTTGTTCAATCATTGATTCAACATGGGTTTTCTACTGGTATCCCAAAGTCTGTGCCTTGAACCTCCCAGTGACCTCCCCTACTCTACTGCAGCAGGTAGCAGCCCCTTTCTTTCAAAAGGGATTGGCACTCGGGTGAGGAAGAAAGTCCCTGGGTATGAAATTGCAGTGAGTCAAAATGGAATTACGCAATCATCTTGATAGCATCTAAATCTGCTAGCTAAATATTTCCCTCTTAACCTCTGTTGTTTCTACCTGCTGGTACACCAAAGGGGTGATAGAGAGAGAACCAAAGTGTCTAGACTTGCAAGCTTATTAAATGCAGAACAAGACACTTAATGAAATCCAGCCCATAGATAAGCCCTTTCAAAGAGACCAGAGGAACAGTATCTGCTTCACCTTAAATGAACGGCGAGGCTTTTTGAAATGCAGCATTGAAAACAAAGAGCACGCACGGTTCACTGTGTTAGCATCCCTGACGTGCTGCAGACGTATTGTTAGGTGTGTCTGCCCGTTTGTAGGGTGAGAGATGGCTGCAGGGCTGTATGGCGGCAGGGGGATATTAAGCTAAGCTGAGCTGGATACCTGTCAAAGCACAAGGCTTCAAAATGGGTGATCTTTGATAGGGAGCCCTGTACGAACTGTTTTGTTTGTGCTGCGTCGTTCTTCCGTCAGTCCCTCGCAGCGTGCCCTGTGCTGGTCTCATCCTGCTCTTAGCCCTGGGAGTCCTTGACAGGCAAATCTGGAAGGGTGTGATCCTGTTGCTGGAAGCTGGATTTACTGTGCCTGGCCTGTCCCTGAAGGGTGTTTCTCTGCGCTGTACGAAACTAATGAAGGAGAATTAGCAACCTCCTCAGCTTGTCCCAAAGCCTAATGGCCCTGTCTTTGAGCGTTTGCTAATATCAGATCTCAATCTTCATTTGTTGCAGACAAAGCTGATTTAGAGTTTGTTTTTTTTTTTTTAATCTTACCTGGGGTGGAAGCAGAGATTAACTGATTACCATCCTCCATCATTTACCTCTTGGAAGACTTTTAATCATGACTGCCTCTCTCCCTCCAGCCCAGTCACCTGGAGGCTGAAGGCACCCCCTCTTCAGCAGCACTCTTGCTGGTGGCTGGGGCAGGTTGGGGAGTCTCCCGTCTGAGGTTCTCAGACTCTTCTGCAAAAATTTTGGAGAGCCATGCCTGAGACTGCTGTGGTAGTTTTGTTGGTTTGTTTTTAAAAGCCTCCTACTGCGTGATCGCTGCTTATGGTGTGGTGTTTCCTCCTTTGGTCCTGGTACTTGGTCATTGTGTCAGCTGTCGTCTGTTCTGCCTTGCACGTTTGAGTTCTCCTTGTCCAACATAATTCTTACCACTTATTTTGGTGTAATGTGCCCAACCTACTCAAGACCCACATATTTGTCCCGATCTCTAGGTACGAGATTTGAAAAGCATGTGATCCCTTCCAGAGCTCTTCCTTTGCATGGTCCCATGCTCTGATTTTAGCATTTGCAGCTCTTTAGGGCTGCCTCATTGCTAGTAGCTAAATCCATTCAAATGAAAATAAAGCTGACACAAAATGAGCCATGCACCTTCCTCTGTTTAAGAGAAATCCTCTGCACTACAGCTGTGTAGAGGGACTGAGCAGGCAAGATGAGTTACTGCAGAGACTGAATTCACTTCACTTAACTGGTCTCCCAGCAAGTGTGTCGAACACTCCTCTTGCAGGGTGATGCATCCCCATGCTGCGAAGGGCCACTCCAGGATGCAGCTCAAGCAGCAATCCGTGTCCTCCAGCTCTTTCAAAATCTTTATTGCGGGTTCTTTGGCTGCTAATCTCTCAGCCTTGACATTCAGGTCTGAGAGGAGAGGCAAACCCGTGCTGCCTCTGTTATGTGCTTGACCTTTGCAGCAGTTGCTGCTGCAAAAGGACAGTCGAAGTGGCGGCATGTCCTTTGGATAGAGGCTGTGATGCCTCATGGCTTTTGGAGCGTTTGCATCAGCTGTTGCCGGAGCACTGTGTGCCATTGGAACCATTGCCAGAATTGCTCTGATCTGACACCAAAGCTGTACAGAAATGGATTATCTTGTCTTAATCAGGAGCATGGAACAAGCTGCTGATTATCTGTCCCCAAAGGGCTGACCAGAAGTCATTTTGGCTCCTAATGCATAATGTGACAGCGTCAGATCCTCCTGCGTGTGTTTGATTTGCAGACACTGGGAGAAGACTGGAGCTTTGGAGTCCCGTATCTTATATATCGTGTCTAAATACATAGTACAGCTATGTATGCTCCTGAGGGTCTCTCCTGTTGTGATTTAAACCACCAGCCTGATCCCAGTGTAGCAGTAAGGTATATATTTTCAGGAGTAAGGGAAATGCTTTTCTGATAAAATAAAAAATACTTTGGGAGTTGTCGGATTCCCCATTGCTGGGTGTTTTTAGAGGTGAAGATTGCCTGTTTTTTCCAGTGTACATGATCTCAGATACGTTTATGGGCTTCATTGAGAAATTAGTGGGTGAGATTCTCTGGCCATGTAAGCGTCTCCCTCCGTGACAATGACAGCCATGGGAAAGCCACAAAGCTGTATGACTGTGACAACATCTCATGCCACAGAAGCAGCTATAGCAGTCAGGGCTTTAAACACACACCACTCCCACCCCCTTTTTTTCTTTTTCTTTTTTTTTTTTTTTAAATCTCCTTTGTTTTGTCTCATCTTCACCAGTTAATGTACTCCCCTTCCCTCTCCCAGGGATTAATAACATTAATAGGATTAATGGTGACATTAAGACTGCATAAACGCTCGGTCCCATTTATTAAACTCAAACTTTCACCTCTCTTGCCCTTTTGGGCTGAAGTTTTTCACACTGGGGTCTGTGCTATCCAAGCAGTGCTTTGGGGAAATTGCTCAGCTGCTTTGAGGATCTGGCGCAGGGACAGGACATAGCACGTAACTCTTCTTCAGCGTTTCCGCTATTCTCTTGCTTCCTAGATAAGATATTCTTAGGTTTTTGTTACTAAAGACATCTCCTGAATATCTCGGAAGATGTAACTGTTGTGCCAGACCTTTTCTGGGAGGAGAAACGATTTTTTTTTTTTTAATAGGCTTGTTGCACAGTAAGTGGGACAGACAGAGCCCCTACCCCCTGTGAGCAGAGGGGCCACTGAGCCTCTGCCCTGCGGGGCTGAGTCCGGCAAGCGGCTGCTTGTTCTCCTGCCCCTGCATTTAACAAGCGCTTTTGCTGTTGCACTTAAACCAAGGCTTGTCCCTTCTGCACGCTCTGGATTTAAGGAAGGCAACCAAGCTTCTGCAACCCTTGTTGTACGGAAATGGTATGTCAGGAGGTGAACGTGAGATTGTCCATCCCTGGGCTGGGCTGGCACTAGGTTTGGCATTCCCAGTGCCCAAGCGACAGAAGGATTTGTACAAAATGGTACAGCCTGAGCCAGCATCTGGGAAGCTATTAAATGTTTCCAGTCTGCTCCCCCTGATTTTTCTATTAGCATTTAAGATAAAGCAAATACAGAAGTGTAAAACGAAACCCCTTTGGGACAGTGAGCGGAAAGAAACCGAATCCAAGCAGCAGGAGCTGGCCAGGGGTTCGTGAGACCATGGTGCACCCATCCCTCTGCTGCGTGGGGACTGGGCAGAGGGGCTGGAGAGGGACCCCTGTTTGCAGGCTCCATGTCTGTGTTGGGCAAAATAGCCACAGGTATAAAGCATGGTCGTGGCCCGCATCTTTGAAGCATCCCAGGGTGCCCTTGATCTAGTGTGAGCCCTGTGTTACTCCTGGGTGCACGAATTACTTCCAATAACTGGGTTGTGCCTGAGTTCAAGTGACTAGTCGGGGGGGCGTTGGCCAAATACCTTCCAAACTGCAGGAAGGTATTCCCTGTTCCCCAAACAGGGAAAA